CATCACTGGCGCTGTCCATGGTACCACTTCTGAGGCGTGCTACGTAAATCAGCACTAACACACGCATCAGGCCACATAACAATAAAACACTCCTGAATTAAAATAAATACAATCTCACCTAAACCGGCGGCTGTTTCCTGGCCTTCCTCGAGGAGAAGTCCTGGATCATGTCATTGAAGTCCAACTCTCGGACAAGTTCGGCTTCTATGGCCACGAGTGACAAACTGTTCAGGCGCTTCTGGCTCATCTTGGTCCTGAGTTCGTTTTTTATTCTGGCCATTTGAGAAAACGACCGTTCTCCCTCGCAGTTTGTGACAGGAAGTGTCAGACAAAGTTGTACAGATTCGGGAATGTTGACTGTAATCCACAATCCAGGATTGTTTTAAGACATTTTGATGGAGGCACATTCTGTCCGTTTGATCTGATGAATGATCTGGAGTGAATCAGTTCATCTCCAAGACTGCTGTCCAGATCAGCGGGATAGGCAGAGGCGAGTGTGTTGGCTTTCTCAATTAACTCCACGGTCCACGGTCCGGTGCACTTGAGCTAGCAGCGTTAGCATCCCGCTGATCCTCTGAGCAGTGAGGTGTCGAACAACTTCCAGTAGGCCTACCGTCATCTTGCCTCTGTTTTTTGGTGAAAAATGTTGAGATTGATGGCATTTGCTGCACCAAAGCAGCAGTTTCATCCTCTTTTTCTTCCCTTAGCTTTCTTCTTTCGGAACCACTGAGCGCTCGCCTCCATTTTGAAAACAAACTGTTTTGACGTCATACGTACTTTTTTTTTTTTTTTTTTGTACAAACAGTAATCTGTTACGTTTGAAAGCAAACGCACGAAAACGTTACGTTGGAAAGTACGTTAGAAAGCAAACACATTTTTATTTATTTATTTATTGCGCACAAAAAATAAATAATAAATAAATAAACCTGAATGCCAAGGGCCCTCATTGGCTGTGGGGCCCTGGAGACACGCCCACTTTGCCCATGTCGTAACCCGTCTATGAGCAGGTGGATGAGGCTGCTGTTGCGCAGTGAGCGGCTGATGTGATGATGGAGGTGATGAGTAGTGAACGTGAGTTTGACCTATGATAGTTTTATAAATGAACAAATACCAATGGGTTTGCCTTCCAGACAACACAGGGGTCAAAAATGTCAAACTCCACACCTTAAAATGCACATTTCTGCTGTTCCTACTTGGAAACTTTCCAGTTTCATGCAGCCCAACTTCAGCCTCTCATATAAATGTGAATGACATATACCATCCAAAACATGTAGCGTTTTTGGTACTTGGCAGGCCGGTGGGTGTAACAATAATTTGCATTATTTATCCTCCTTTATTTGTTTTTCCAGGTAAGCTCTGCTCTTCAATTGGAATTTGGAGCTTTCAACTGTTTCTGACGTCAGACCGTAACGGAACGCAGCATCAGTTTTGTTGTGGCCAAAAGAAAACCAAACAGCTGCTACTATGAGTGGCGGAACTTATTAAATGGTGGAGTGTTGTCTCAATTTTAGCATTCAGGGATGTAGTATGTGTCTTAAGCCTCCACTGTTTTTGAGTGCAGGACCTGGAGCTGCTCCCAGATGGAGATCGGACACTGATCGGGGACAGAGGAGCCACGCTC